TTCCTACTACTGAAGCAAATAATGCACCCCTGTATTTGCATAAATACCAGGAATATAAATCTACCCTTCCTCAGCTTCTGCACTTATCCTGATGCCATATCCCTGACTTGTTGTCTTGATGACGATTGCCATTGTCAGGGTGACTTACTTTAAAAAAATCACTTAAAATACACAATACATCATAAATTGATGAATTAATAACTTCAAACACATTAAAATGGACTATTTTTACTACTGGTACATTAAAAAAAGTCAAAATCTTTATATGAACACACTTGCAATATAAAAAGAATGATTTTATGACTTTTGCCAATAAATGGATAGAGACTGTCAAGCTAAGTGATTAAGCCAAACCCACCAAACCAAGGGTTGAATATTCTCTTTGATATGTGGATGCTAACACAAAACCGGGGGGGAAGAGAAGTGCCCCCATCAGCATAGCCATTAATTGAGAAACCAGAAGGCCATGAGGGGATGAAGAAAAGACAGACACACATAGAGAAAAAGCTGGGACCAGGTGGGTAGCCACGCCCTGATGAGGCTTGACTGACATATTTATTATACAGGTTTTGTCATCAGGTTATTTGTGAGAAAGTTTTGGCCAAGCAGGCAGTCTAAAGGACACAGGAAACTTGTAAGACATCGAGGTCATCTTTTATGCCCAGAATTCCTTACCCCTGGGAGTTGGTGTCTGAATCCAAGGTTCCAACTGTTAGAGCTGCTCACCTTTGCACATAGCTATCCCTGGCTGGCATTACCATGGCAACTGGGGCATCTCATGCTGCACTATTACATAGGCAGCTCCCACTGCAAATGCAGCCATGAGGAAATCAGAGACCATGGTTCGAATCACCACTCTCCACAGGGAAGAATAGAAGTTAAGTGGATTAGACAAAGGGGAATGAAAAGAAGGGATGGGATAGGAATAGGAAAGAGACTAGAATAAATTGGACACAAATTTCCTGTGTTCATGTATGACTACACCACCAGTGAAACTCCACATCATGTACAACCACAAGAATGGGATCCTAATTAGAAAAGTGATAGTATGTATAATATGTCAAGATCTACTCTACCATCAGGTATATCTAAAAATAACAAATAAAACAATAAAATTAAAATTTTAAAAATGGACAAAGGACTAATTTCCAAATTATATGAAATCTGTATGCAATAAATAAAAGACAAACCACCCAATAGAAAAAATCAAGAAAAAAAATGATCATGTATTTTTCTAGAGCAATAAGGATAATGGTGCTTGTTCTCATGATTCAGTGTGGGTCTCCCAGTGGGTAGAAGGCTTTTCACCAGCTGGTAATTCAAGAGCCAGGCTCAATTTTTCTGAGAACAGCAGGTAACCTATTTCCTTTAATAGAGAAGATCCTTCTGCTTCTTTAAAACCCTGTCCAGAAATAGCACACATTCTCTTCCACTGTTGAGAATGTGTTGCCTAGACTCCCTAAATCAGTTTTTTTAAAAAATGTAGAAGCTCCTTCCCGGTAACAAATTTAGATCATGAGTATGGTGAGCAGTCAGTCATCTCTGTCACAAACAGATAGTATATATTAGGTTAGATGTTTTATTGCATTAATGACCATGAGAATAGAAAATAAAAGCATAGTGAGATGTAATTTGCCATTTGCTACATCTGCAAGATAAAAGTGAAATCTTTGTCTTTAAAGTGTTAAAAAAAAGTAATAGGAACACTCGAGCTCTGTGGATACATGTTTAAATTAGTGTAATTCAACAAATAGGAATGGTCCTAGTCTTTTAAGGAATCTCCATCCTGTTTCCCAAAGTGGTTATATTAATTTACAGTCCTACCAACAAGGTATGAGTGTAATTTTTCCCCACATCCTTGCCAGCATTTATTATTATCTGTATTCTTGATGATTGCCATTCTAATTGGAGTAATATGACCCACCTATACCAGCTCTTAGTATTTATCCAAAAGAAATAAAATCAGCATATGATAATGATTCAGTTACACCAATATCTATAGAAGGACAAGTCTCAGTAATCAAGTTATGAAACCAACCCAAGTCCCCATCAACAGATGAACTGATAAAGAAAGTGTGGTATATACACACTTTTACTCAGTCATAAAGAAGAATGAAATTATATCATTTGCTGGTAAATGGATGGAACCAGAGAGCATTATGCTAAGTGAAATAAGGCAGACTTAGAAAATCAAAAGTTGAATGTTTTCTCTCATCTGTGGAAATGAGAGTGAAACAAGGGGAAAAAAAGGGAGTGGAGGTCACATGAATATAGGAAGCTGATAAATAGAGCAGAGGAAGGAAACTGGAGGAGAGAGAAGAAGGATGGAAATAGAGAGGTTCTAACTGTTAGAGCTGCTCATCTTTGCAATGAGTTGACCAAATTATGCTGTTTCCACGTATGCACACACCACAGTGAATTCCATCTTTATGTATATCTATAAAGCACCAATTTATAAAAACAATAATTAGAAGGAAGACCAGTGGAATAGAGGAAGGTGAACATGGGGAAGAAAGGAAGAGAGGGGAATGGAGAAAAAGGGGAACGTTGAAGTACTGGGGATTGAAATGGAACAAATTATATTCTATGCATGTATGAATATGTCAAAATGAACCCCACTACTATGCATAACTATAATGCAGTAGTAAAGCCCTGAAAATTTAGTGGAACACTTTTACAGCAGTTTCAGGGTTATTGAAAAATTGAGCAGAAAATTCTCCCCATGGTCCTATGATTTCCATGATATTTTACATTGGTATAGTGACTTTGTTACAATTGAATCAATATTGGTAAGCTAAAATTGATGAAAGTCCATAGTTTACATTAGGGTTCACTCTCTTTATTCTACAGGTTTTTGCTTGGATTGTTTTTCTCTAGTTTGGTTTTGAAAAATGCATAGTTACATGTATCTAAAGTTACAGGGTCATACAGAATAATTTTGTCCCTAAAAATATCCTGTTCTACTTATTCATTCCTCACTTTCCCATACCAAACCTTGGCAATCACGGATTGTTTTATTATCCCCCATGTAGCCTTTTCAGTAAGGCTTCTTGGTGTAACTATTTTCTAGAAGAATTTAGCAGTGATAAATTGTATATTCACTTGCCATATAATCAAATAATTCTACTGTATATATAGTTTACATGACCATATATACACACTATATGTATGTGCATAGCATTGATAGCATCATTGTTCATAATAGCAATACAGTAAATCAAAAAAAATGACCCCCGAAAAGAGAGAAAATAAATGTGTTATAGTCTCACAGCAGAAGATGAAAATATTTAAATAAATTTAATAAGGATAATAGTAAAAACAAAAGAAAAATAAAATAAATAAAGTCTTATTTACATGAATTATGGATTAGGAAAGATTTTTTTAAATGTTAAAATTCTTACCAAAGTAAAGGAACAAAGAAAATAGTAAAATACTGAGTAACTTTAAGAAGAGTGAAAATACAATTCAGAAATGGCCGAAAGAACTCCAATATATTGTTAGTTTTCTAGGTATTTCTAGCCAAGATATTTTTAATGAATATTTATTTTAATATTTTTCTCTAAAATATGATCATATATCATCTATATATGAATACATACACATATATAAGCATGTTACAGCTGTCAAGATCCCCAAACAATAAGAAAAAAATATACCTGGCACATATATTTAATTCTACATATGTTATGTATGTTATTTTGTTTAAATGTTATTTCAATATTTATTAAAGATTAAAACAAAATTTTCTATAAAATTGCCTAAAAATATTGCTCAGGTTTGAAAATTATTCAAGTGGCTTGTATGTCTCAGGATGTGACTTCACATACAGAAGTTTGATTTCCAGTTTTACTATATTGTTAACTTAGTGCAAGATGCCTAGTTTAAAAAAATTTTTTGAATTGCCCCTTTCATACCAAATGCTAGAGTTAAATAATACATGCAAGCATGTTTGTCACAGCAATCAGTTTATAGCAATGAAGTTAAGTAACTTTGCCTTGAGCAGAGGCAGTTTCTCAAGGACTAAAACAACACACTACCATTTCAGATGGAAATAGAACATTTTTAGATAGTTGAGGGATAGAAATGCCTTTTTTTCTTTTCATAATAAAATAGAGTGAATTAAATTACACTGAAGCCTGACTTGAACTCGGTTCAGGTTGCCTAGACTTCCTAACATCCTTTCTAGCCATTCTTTCTTTAGTCCTGACCCAGATTCGCTGAAGCCCCTGATCTAGATGGGCTTCATCCCCCATGATTACATCACCACCTAGAAGGACTTTAAAACTCTCTCCTCTCACTAGTTTGCCTCGCACCCACATAACATCTGAGACCTCGAGGGCTCCATTCAAGTTTATGTTTGACATTTGGGGCATGCGCCTGTTGTATGGGTACCGTTGTCCTGGCATTCCACAGACAGAAAGCCATGCTCTGTAGTTTGTGAAAATGTTTTGAAAAATGAATATGAAATTAGAATCACTTGCAAAGATTAAAAGGGAGAGACATGGGGAAATATTGTTCAATGAATTTTAAGTTATAGTAGGAGAAATAATTTATGTCTCATGGCACAGTATAGTAACTGTGATAATAATACAATACTATGTATTTCAAAATACTAGAAGAAACAGTCCTGAATAATTTCACACAAGGAAGTGATAAATATTTGAGGAGATAGATACACTTTCTTTGATTTGAATAGTATAAATGATATATGCCATGTATAAAAACATCACATTGCCCTATAAGCATGTACCATTTTTTATTTGTCCATTAAAAATAAATATATAAAAAGTTATTTAAACCAAAAGTAAATCTAGAATCCTAATTAAGATTACACACGAAGATAAATTCAAAGGGAATTACAAAATTCAACACAAAAATAAAATTATAAAGCTAGGAGAAAAATTAATTATTATTTGAGAAGTGAACAAACTATCACAAAAGGCTACAAACTAACAAATTTTTTAAAAGACTGGTACACCTGATAAGGAAGATGAAGCTCATCATGTTGAAATGGTTCCTCCACTGAGGATGTTTCTGAGAGCTCCTTTTATGTCCCGATTCCTCAGACTGTAGATAAAGGGGTTCACCATGGGGATAACCAGAGTGTACAACACAGACACAGCAATATCCTTGTCATTAGTGCTATTAGATGAGGGGACAATATAGAGTGCAATAACTGCTCCATAGTACACAGAGACCACAGAGAGGTGGGAGCCACATGTGGATAAGGCTTTGCAGATGCCCTTGAGGGAGGGTCTTCTCAGGATGGTGACCCCAATGTGGCCATATGAGACCAGAATGCACATGAATGGCAGGGTAACAACTGCTGATCCTGCCGTGAGAATAGCCAGCTGATTGATGGTGGTGTCAGAGCTGGACAGCTTGAGTAAGGCAGAGAGATCACAGAAGAAGTGGGGCAGAGTGATGCCTCTAAGGAAAGAGAGACGGGCTAGGAGGAGGGTGTGCAAAAGGGCATTGGCAGAGGATAAGACCCAGGACACAACCACTAGCAGGAAACAGAGGTTCTGACTCATGATTCTGGGATAATGCAGTGGGTGACAGATGGCCACATACCTGTCATAGGCCATTGAGGTCAGAAGGAAGCTGTCAAGATTTGCAAAAAATACAAAAAAAAATTCCTGGGAAATGCACCCAGCATAGGAGATGGACTGAGTGTGCATCAGCATGTTCATGAGCATCTTTGGGGCTGTGACTGAGGAGAAAAAGATGTCAGTGAGGGCCAAGTGGCTGAGGAAGAAGTACATGGGGGTGTGCAGGCGAGAGTCCAGCCTCATGAGCAGGATGATGAGCAGGTTCCCCAGCACCGTGGTCAGGTACATGCCCAGGAACAGGGCGTAGTACATGCCTTGCTGCTCTGGCCTGATGGGGAGCCCCAGGAGGAGGAACTCCGACACACTGCTCTGATTATCCCTCCTCATGCTCTTCTTGTTATCTTTTTCTGGAGACAAAAAAGACATGGAAATGTGAAAGAATGAGAAGTCCTTGGGAATATTATACAAGAAAATCATGGTTTTTAATAAGTAAGTGCATTTTAACCTGAATCTCTCAGGCTTTTTGCCATACTGATTAGCTAGTGAGGGTCAGGGAAAGGATGATATTTGTCCACCTATAAAACAACTGAACATCTTTTGAGGTACCATGAAACATCAGAATGAATATCGAATCACACCAAGTTCCACTCGAGGAGCTCAGTATGGAAATTTGAGATTAGGGAATTAGTGTGCATGACCAGGTCAGTAATCAGCTAATGGAAAGACTATTAGATGGTGTGATGTCTAATGGTTTTTGACCTCTCTTAGCCTTCCCCCCACCCCATGCCTCTGAAATACACTTTGGCTAATGATTTATTTCCATGGTCTGAATCAAGAGCACACAGTGGACTGCTTTGGATCTACAGGATATTAAGATCTGAAGACTTGGTGGAAGTATCATATGGACACAGGTTGAGGCATGGGTGCTAAGTTATGAATCAATGTCTATAGCATAAAATATCTAATGACACACCTTGCAATGGGTTTATCTGTTCTTTTAAGAAAGTCCTTTTCCACTCAAGATTCTTAACTTTCCATCTCTCTTTCTAATGGAATTTTCAAGGGGTGAGGATAAAACTTTGTTCATGTTATTTGTCCACCTAGAAAACCCAAAATTAACCACCTTGGGAATTCCCTCAATCAAACCAAATCACCCTGATGAAGTCTTTATAACATTGGGAAATACTTGACTTTTCCAGTCACTTCTTGAATCTGCCAGAGTTTCTTAGTGTCTGCCTAGCAAAAACAAATGATACCATTCTTCTTCATGATTCTTAGCCTAGATTTGATGCCAAAGATTCTTTTTAATTAGCACATTTTAATTATACATAATAAGAGGTATCATTGTGGTATATTCACACATGTTAAAACATACTATATATCCTTTATCCATTCATCCTTTAATGGTATTCCAAAGAATCTTAACCATTGTTATATTTCAATATTTTTCTACATTGCATATATTATCATTCCTCTCTTTTTCTCCTTCAGGTCAGTTAGTCTTGGACCTACCCATGTAAGCTAACACAAAATAATAGGAAAACAGAATATAATCTGTATACTAAAAATTAGAATACATATTCTTTGTAATGTTTGTTTAAACTGAAGGAAATTGTTGGGGAGTGATATTGGCTGAATTCTTTTCTTATATTGTATGCATGTACAAATATGTAATGATAAATCCTATTAATATATACAATCATAATGTACCAATAGAAAATGTGGGGGAAGAGTGAAGGAAATTATCATTTGATAGCTAAGGAAGTGTCTCACTATCTGACTTATCATAAACTCATCTGGGGAATTTAACTAAAGTTTACGTAACAACTCTCACAACTTAATTGAAATTATCTTTAAAATTCTTATATCCTCCAGCACACTATGTTATTAAATTATATTAATGTGACCCTGTGAGCTGACATGGATTATACTTTTGGTTGTTACTTATCACCATGATGGTAACAATCAGTTTATCACAATGAAAATAGTAATTAGCTCTCAGTTAGGCATATTGGTTGTTTCTAATATTTTTCTATTTCCAGCATATGGTAAACATTGTTCTTATATCATTTTTCACAAACAGCATATATATATCTGGAATAAATATCTGGAATTCTTAGGAATGGAATTTGAGGGAAAATATTTATGATTTTGATAGAGTGCCAAATTACCAGAGGCTAAGGTGATCAGGAAGTTGATTCTTATTATTGTTTAAAAAGGAGTCCTTAATAGAAGAACATGTCACCAGAAGATTATGAAAATTTCAGTTGTGTATGTGGAGACAACAGGGCCAGGACATTTAAGAAACAAAAAATTCCAGACCATAGTCAGTCTGGGAAATACACAAGTTGGAGAATTATTGAGAAGCCACAGTATATAAAACACTTTATACCTATCATAGAAATTTTTAATATATCTACAACAGTAGCACACTCAAGTAAAGAATTAAATAAAGAAGGGATTTATCTTGCTGGCGTCTAGGTAGAGATCAGATTATACCAAGGAAAGAGTGTCAGCAGGAATAGGAGGTGATTACAGCAGCTCAGGTACAAAATAATACCTACCTGCACTTTTATTATGGCAGCAGAGATGAAGAAAATAATAGAGATTTATGATTCAATTTGGAAGAAACCCCAACAAACCTAATGGGGTTAAAGTTAAGAAAAAGAGGTACATTTTTCCACTTCTCAAAGCTTAGATATTTTATCAATCTGAGATTAAACTATGCTATGTGAAATTTTTTCCTATTATCTCAAATTTTGGATCAATACTCAATTCAAGATAAATTACTCTACATGTAGCTGTCTGTCAGAGTGTGATATGAGAGGGATAGTGTTTAGGGATCTGTTGTACAACTGGACAAACACACATAGACACAGAACACATAAGATTGTACTACTGAATGTAAATTCTACACCTGCTATGACAAAGCCCCTTACATGATGAACACAGATACCTTCAGCAGCAAATCATAAGAAGATTCTTCCATTTCTTCTGAAAGGCACAAAATAGAGTAAGCAGGTAGCATTTCTAAAGGGCTTAAAGTTTCACTGAAACACGGAGAAGAGTTGGTTCAAAACAATTCAGGATAGGCATGTGGATATACATTTGTTCACAGTTCCTGAGAAATCAGTGTGAACTCTGACTTTATAAACCATGGAGAAAACCTGGGGAAGGGTGAAAATCCCCTATTCCAGATCCAAATTAGAGACCAACAAGATCTAATTGCTTCATTGCTTTTGGCTCCCTTGGGGTAAGAGGTACTTGTGGAAGCAGACATAAGAGATTTCACCCCTGGAAGAATAATGACAATAACCCCAAGAATAATGACAATAAGCCAGCCATTAGGAACCTGGTGATTCATAATGCTTTTTGTCATCTCAACTGACCTTGGGGAAAGTGTGATGAAGAGTCCATAACTATCCAGGCTGGAGGTTAAGAGTGATAACCCACATTTCTTGCCTTTGACCCCACATTACTTCAAGAACACCAAAAAATGTCAAATGCTATCACTCTGAATGAAGGACCTTGGAATGTTAAATCTCATCATTATTAATGGACCTGGGGAATGAAATATCATTTCAATAACTTTCAGTCTCTTGCTTAAAAGCATTCTATTGGTGCACATTTCCCATGATACCATAAAATAATTTTTGAATGCTTGCTTTACACTCACCCTTACAAAACTGATCCCAAATCTCCATTTCATACTTCCCAGCATTTATTCAATGCTGGTAGACAATGAATTTCATATGCTCATTGTTCAGGTGAAGATGTTTGAATATTTGTGAATATTGTTATTTTTTTCTATTTATGTTAATTTCTAGTTGTACTGGGAACTGCTGTTCACGTGAAGAAGTCCAGTAAGACATTTGAACTTCCAGAATGGTTTCTGGGTCTGTCAGTCATCGTTTCCCTAATGATAAGACTCCAATTGATTTGTCTGTTTTGTAGAAGTCAAGGGTTGACAAAACTTCCATCTCAAACACAACAGTGTCATTGTCACCTCCCTCTTTTTCTGACATGAAAGAGTAATTAAAAAAAAAAGTTCATGAGATGGCAGATTAGAGGAACAGTTCCACAGCAGTTCTGTAGCTCAATATTTAAAAGTGGGAAAACTGCTCCTCAGCAAGGTGGGCAAACAAGAGAATGAACTGAAATCTAATGTTGGACAGCAAAATAATCTCAGAGACACAGAAAGTTAGAAACTTTGATCATAACATAGGAACGGTACGTTACAGATGCACTTCCCACCACTGAGAGGATGGGAAGCACAAAGAGAGAGAAAACTTTGGTGAATAAAATTGACTTGGGAGAACCTGTGGAATAGAGAGAGGGTTTGATCTTAGCTGATACAGAGATGGTGGGAGAAGTTGGGTGAAGAGTATTTCAATTCATTTCCTGAAGGGCAGATTGTCCACAGCAGTCAGAGTTCCTGTGCAGGAACCAGTTTTGAATAACCTGTGACAGTGAGCAGATTTGTGAGATTAGGAAACCACAGGAAGACACCAGCCTGACCCAGCAGTGGCTGATTGTAGGGTCCAGAGTGTGCCTGGGCCAACGTGACTGAAGCAGCACAGAGAGGACTGTGCTAGAATTGTACCCGGTGGCCATAGTAAGCAGAGAGCTTATCTTGCAGAGCTCACTCATATGAGCTCTACAAAGATTCTGGTAACCAGTCTGACAACTAGGTCTGATGTCCAACTCACCACTCCTCTTCAATGTAGTTCTTGCAACTCTCATCAGAACAATCAGACAAGAGAAGGAAATTAAAATGATAGAAATATGAAAAGAAGTCAAATTATCTAGAAGATTCAAAGTAACTCCACCAGAAGACTTCTAGAGCTGATAAATAAATTCAGCAAAGTAGAAGAATACAAGATCAACATTCATAAATCAATAGCTTTCCTCTACTCCAACAGCAATTCTGCTGAGAAAAGGATCAGGAAAACTATCCCATTCACAATAACATCAAAAATAAAATACTTGGGTATCAACTTAACCAAGAAGGTCAAAGACAATGAAAACTACAGAAAGCTGGAGAAATAAATTGAGAAAGACCTTAGAAGTTGGAAAAACCTTCCAAGTTCTTGGGTTAGCAGAATCAATATTGTCAAAATGCTATTTAGAGTTAATGTAATCTCCATAAAAATATCAATGACTTTCTTCATAGAAATAGAAAAAAGTCCTAAAATTAATTTGGAGGAATAAAAGACCCAGAATAGCAAAATAAATCTTGAGTAAGAAGAAGGATCCTGGAAGCATCACAATATCTGATTTCAAATTATATTACAGACTATAGTTATAAAAACAGCATTGTATTGGCATTAAAATGCACATGATGACCAATAGAACAGAAGACAGAGACAACTCACATAGTGAAAGTC